TGCTGCTGCTGCTGCTGCTGCTGCTGCTGGGTCGCGTATCTTCCTGCTGCTCAGAAGCGGAGGGGCAGGAGTGCTGCAGCAGCCGCTGCTTGTATGCTGCTGTGTCTGACTGCATGCAGGCCTCATCTTCTGCAGCGCTGTGTGGAGCAGCAGCAGCAGCAGCAGCAGCTACAGCAGCAGTCTCAAGCCCTCCCATTTGTAAGAGCGCCTGGCGTTGCTGCTGCAGTGCCTTGCGTTGGTCGTGAATGTTTGCTGCTGCTGCTGCGGCTGCTGCTGCACGTGTAGCGGCTTGCTGCTGATCTTCTTGCAAGAGATCTGCTGCTGCAACGCCTGATATTTCGCTGCTGAGGTGCAGCAGCAGCAGCAGCAGCAGCAGCAGCACGGGGTCATGCCTCACCATTCCTGATGTCTCGTCTTCCCAGTGCCGCAGCATTAGAGGGCTGCTGAGGTGTACAGGGAGCAGCAGCAGCATCGAAGCAGCTCTCAGCAGCGCGCAGACAACTCCAGAAGGAGCAGCAGCAAGCAGCATGCGGGGCAGCAGAATATACACTAGGCGTTCTGCTGCAGCAGCCATCAAAGGAAGCTCCTCCACCCCACACCCTCCTTCTCCCCCTGGTGGCACGGTGCTCCCTGCTGCTGCTGCTGCTGCAGCAGCTGCTGCTGCTGCTGCTGCACCTAGCCCCTCTTCTAAGGATCGCTGCAGCCTCACGGCCTCCCGTCCAGACTCATACTCGCCGACAAGTTCTAGGTGCTGCTGCTGTTGCTGCTGCTGCTGCTGCTGCTGCAGGGTCAGCAGCAACGCGCGGCAGTTGCCATTTGCAGCAGCAGCAGCAAAAGCGCTGAGGGCCTCAGCAGCACGCAGAGAGATGCTCCAGCGAATAGGGAGGGAGAGGCTTCGCTTGGAATCAGCGGGGTCTTGCTGCTGCTGCAGCGGCAACAGCAGCAGCTGCAGCAGCACAACAAACACCTGCTTTGTAAGAGACAGCGGAATCGGCAACCACCCTGATGAACTCAAGACCTTCTCGAGCAGCAGCAGCAAAGAGCAGCAAACTGCTCCCTCAGTCGCCGTCTCCTCAGCAGCAGCAGCAGCAGGACACACCACAGCTGCACCAACACAAGCCGCAGCACCAGCAGCAACACTGAAGCATCCAACGCCATACCAAGCCGCAGCACTCAGCAGCAGCAGCAGCAGCAGCAGCAACAGGAGCAGCAGCAACAGGAGCAGCAGCAGCAGCAGCAGCAGCTATGTGATAGAAATGCAGGAGACACAGCGCTGCAGCGTGAGGGGCAAAAAAGAATTCGGGCTAAGGAAATTGCCTGCTGCTGCTGCTGCTGCTGTTGCTGCTGCTGCTGCTGCATGCACTTCCTACCTGCTTTTTTTGCTGCTTTGATGAGTTTCGATATGACGATGTGGGGCGCAGAGCGGGAGGCAATCTGCAGCACCTGCAGCAGCAACTCTCTCCTTTCATCTCCCTCAGCTAGAGCTGCTGCTTCTTGAACTGCAAACGAAACAATAGTACGAAGCCATCCTGTTGCTGCTGCTGCAGCTGCTGTTGCTGCTGCTGCAGCAGCAGGAGCAGGCGCAGTAGCGGCTGGGCCTGTGGCTTCTTCTGGTGCTGCTGCTGCTGCTGCTGCTAGCGCCCTGCTGCTTCTATCTTCTTTCAGGTGTCTCCTCATAGGGCTGTTTTGTACACTCCAGCGGAAGAGGAGGAGCCGCAGCAGCAGCAGCAGCGCGACTTGGTGCTCCTGTGTTGCTGCTCTTACTTCTAGGAACGCCTTAATAGCCAGTGCAACTCTCCCTGTGTCTTCAGCAGCAAATGAAAGGAGAGAAGCAGCAGCAGCAAGAGCAGCACAGTGCAGAGGGACAGCAGCAGGAGTATCGAAAGGAGACAACAGCCAGGGTACGGGGCAGCTGAGCTTCTCTATCATTGCTTGCAGCAGCACATCCTTTTCAGCTGCTGCTTCTGCTGCTTCCTGCTGCTGCAAGGGCCCAGCAATAGCTTGCTGCTCTCCTGCTGCTGCTGCTGCTGTTGCTGCTGCTGCTGCTGAGCTGGGATCCTCTATCAACTCCTGCAGCAGCCTCTCAGGCCTCCACACTCGCCGCAGCACCGAAAGAAGAGGGGCCCCACCTAAGGCAGCTGTATGAAGGTGTTCCTGTGCTTGTGCTGCTGCATATTCGTCAGCAGCAGCAGCAGCAACACCTGCTGCTGCTCCTGCTGCTGCTGCTGTATTGTTTGCTGCAGGTCCTCCCGGGATAGAAGGCTGCAAGGAGTCTAATAAAGAGAAGAGGAAGTCATCAATGTCTACCCCAGCTAAAAAACCATCATCGGCAGCACAAGGTGCCGCCTCAGCTGTCTGCATTGCTGCTGCTGCTGCTGCTGCTGCTGCTGCTGTTTCTGCTGCTGTTGCTGCTGCTGGTTTTGCTTCTCGCACAGAAATATGTTGACACCTCAAATCCCCCGCCTATAGCGGGGAGAAGCAGATGTTTGTTTGACGTTTCTTTGTTCAGGTCCCTGTGTTCAGCAGCAGCATCAGCAGCAGCATCACCAGCAGCAGCAGCAGCAGCAGCTGACGAGGCGCTCGTCTGTTGTGTGTCTAGAGTAGCGTTTGAATGAAGCAGCTGCTGGGTACTTGTTTAGAGAGAGTAATTGCTCCTCCCTGTAACAAGGAGGGAAGAGGAGTGGAGCAGGATAAAGAGAAAACGAGCAGAAGCTGATATTGTGCTATTGTTGCTGCAGCTGCTGCAGTTGCTGCTGCTGTTGCAGCAGCTGCTGCTGCTGTTAGGGAAGAAAGAGAAGAAGCAATTTGTGTTTCATACCGGTGGTCTAACCCCAAACGGCCTGCTGCGCGTCGGCAGCGGCAGCCGAGCTGAGACGTCAGCCTGAAAAAGGAAGAAGACTGCAGCAAAAATAAAGACAGAAAAGTAATAAAAAGAGAGAAACAACAAAAAGTTAGAAGGAAGCTTTACTCCCCACATACGCCTATCGAAGAAAAGCCATTGAAGGAACGCACGGAACAGACCAGTGAAGCCGCTGCTGCTGCTGTTGCTGCTGCTGCTGCTGCTGCTGGTTTTATTATGGAGTCGGTGGTGTTGTATGGTGCCTGGTGTTGTTGCGGTGTAGCAGCACTGACATGTAGCAGCTGCAATGCATGCATGCAGTTGCGGCTAAATGGGTTGTTTTGTTGTGTTTATTATTCCTTTTTCTTCTTTAAAAGGAAGAAGCCGAAGAACAGACTCTGAACAACAGCAGCAGCAGCAGCAGCAGCAACGCCTTCGGCGGACGGTGTCGGTAGCTGCTCCTTCGGGGTGTAGACCTTCGGGGGTGTTTTGGAGTATAAATATCACCGTTTTCGCAGAACTTTGTTGTAAAAAGACTTTATTTATGTTAAATAATTCAAATATAATAATAAAAGAATAAGTTTCCCCAGCTTTCCTTTCAAACACACACCCTTTAACGAAGCCCTCAGCGGTCGGCTGGCGCCCGATGTACAGACACCGCGAGTTGTACGACTGCACGGTAGCAAGTTTTTGAATTTTTGCAAGATATTGAAAAAAGAATTATTCAAATGAAAATGCATTGAATAATATTTGTTTTTTATATATTTTGATGAGACTTATTTCTTAAACTTCTTCGTCGTCTTCTTCGGTTTCCGCCAGTATATAAAGATGAAATTTGAATGGTAAGTCAAAGAAACTCAAGCGACTCTCTTTATCCGAGCATTTTACTGTTTCTCCGCTCTTATTAATACTAAAATTAAATCAAAAAGGCATTAAATACTGCACATTATGGCGTATCTTATGATGTGTTTTATATTTTGTTAACTGTAATATCTGCAGGCGTAGGCTAGTGGTGTTGTAATAATTCAGCTAAAGAAACAGCTTCATAATGAAGACCGAGAGGCCAAAGGCAACAGGCATTAAAATATTTCTTACACAAGCACAATGGAAGCCTGGTGAGTGTAAAAAGAAAGAAAAAGAAGTATAATAGCGCAACCCCGTGGTAATGTTCTGCTCGCCTCACTGTTGTTATGCTGCTCGAAGCATAACAACAGAGGCGAGCAGAACAATAAATAAAGAAGAAAAATAAAAGTATAAGTAACGAAAGAAAATCAGTGAGAAGTGTCTGCATACTTCAATGTATTAATGCTGTTTAGATTGAAATTTCAGTCTATATAGCATATATAATTATACATATATGCATATATATATAATTATATATGTGCATACATATGTGGGCATATCATAGGACATCACGCTTATTATATACCTCTTTCATGATATATACGTATACATAAATATTGTTATTATAAATGCCCTCCTTCTATAATAGTATGTATCCTATATATATATATATATATATATATATATGAGTACTTGTTTTTAATTTTGGTATATATATATATATATA